GAATTATAGTTACCTTCTCACTGTGTCCGTACATCGCAAAGAGAGAGAAAGCTCTCTGATATCTTCCTCTTCTTCTTTTTTGTTTTTCAAGACAGAGTCTTGCTCTGTTGCCCAGGCTGGAATGCAGAGGCACAATCTCAGCTCACTGCAATCTCTGCCTCCCAGGTTCAAGTGATTGTCCTGCCTCAGCCTCCCGAGTAGCTGGGATTATAGGCACCCGCCACTATGCCTGGCTAATTTTCGTATTTTCAGTAGAGACAAGGTTTCACCATGTTGGCCAGGCTGGTCTCAAACTCCTGATCCCATGATCCACCTGCCTTGGCCTCCCAAAGTGCTGGGAATACAGGCATGAGCCACCGCACCCAGCCTGATGTCTTTTCTTAAAAGGGTACTAATCCTATCATGAGGGTCCCATCTTAATTACCTCATTTAAACCTAATGATCTCTTGAAGGACCCATCTCCAAATACCAATACTTTGGGGGTTATGGCTTCACCATATGAATTTGGGGTGGGGCTGTCAGGGGTGGGGGGACACAATTCATTCCATAGCACAGCAGCTCAGCAGATTTCTGACTACCTGGGTAGCAGAACATACCTACTTTCCGCTGGAGGTTGAGAGAAGAGAGCAGAAGAGAAAGAACTGAAGATTCTTTGAGTTGGTGTAGTATACAAAAGGAATGCAAATTTTCAGCAACAGATTTTTCTACTGGGGATCCTGATTATCATTTCATTGTATCAAGTTCAAGATGCAACTATATTCTACTTCACATTCTTTGAAGGAAAAAAAATCAACAAAACTGTGTGTGTGTGTGTGTGTGTGTGTGTGTGTGTGTGTGTGTGTTTTAAGACAAACACAGTCTTCTCTGTCACCCAGGTTGGAATACAGTGGCATGATCATAGCTCACTGCAGCCTCAAACTCCTGGGCTTAAGTGATCCTCCTACCTCAGCCTCCCAAGTAGCTGGGAACAGAGACATAAATCACCATGCTCAGCTAATTTTTAATTTTTTTGTAGAGGTGGGGTCTTGCTATGTTGACCAAGCTGGTTTCAAACTCCTGACCTCAAGCAATCCTCTCACCTCAGCCTCTCAAACAGAACTTTCATAAAGACACTGTGAGGAGCCGGGTGTGGTGGCTCACACCTGTAATCCCAGCAAGTTGGAAGGCTGAGGCAGGCAGATCATGAGGTCAGGAGTTCAAGACTAGCCTGGCCAAAATGGTGAAATCCCATCTCTATTAAAAATACATGTAATCCCAGCACTTTGGGAGGCTGAGGCGGGTGGATCACAAGGTCAAGAGATCGAGACCATCCTGGTCAACATAGTGAAACCCCGTCTCTACTAAAAATACAAAAAATCAGCTGGGCATGGTGGGGCGTGCCTGTAATCCCAGCTACTCAGGAGGCTGAGGCAGGAGAATTGCCTGAACCCAGGAGGCGGAAGTTGCGGTGAGCCGAGATCGCGCCATTGCACTCCAGCCTGGGTAACAAGAGCGAAACTCCGTCTCAGAAAAAAAAAATACAAAAAGTAGCCAGGCATGGTGGCAGGCATCTGTAGTTCTAGCTACTTGGGAGGCTGAGGCAGGAAAATCGCTTGAGCCTGGGAGGCAGAGGTTGCAGTGAGCTCAGGTCGTGCCACTGCACTCTGGCCTGGGTGACAGAGTGAGACTCCACTCAAAAAAAAAAAAACCAAAAAAAAAAAAACACTGTGAGGAAGACTCAGGATTCTTCAGAGAACTTTGGAGCAATTTAGAAAGACAGAGCTGCCAGGCACGGTGGCTCATGCCTATAATCCCAGCATTCTGGGAGGCCAAGGCAGCAGATCACCTGAGGCAGGGCGTTGAGACCAGCCTGACCAACATGGAAAAACCTCATTTCTACTAAAAACACAAAATTAGCCGGGTGTGGTGGCGCATGCCTGTAATCCCAGCTACTCAGGAGGCTGAGGCAGGAGAATGGCTTGAACCTGGGAGGTGGAGGTTGAGGTGAGCAGAGATCTCATAATTGCACTCTAACTTGGGCAACAAGAGTGAAACTCAATTTCAAAATAAATTAATAAATAATAATAAAATAAAAATAAATTAAAAAGAGCCAGAATAAACATCATCCATTTTCTTTGAAGCAGAATCCCATGACTGGATCCACACTGTGAAATAAAGGTCTGACCACTGGGGCTCAGGACCAGGGTTAAACTGGGGAAGGAGAGGTGTAAAATGTAGTTATGATAGTCAGGCATGGTGGCTCACGCCTGTTATCCCAGCACTAGGCAGACAGATCACCTGAGGTCAGGAATTTCGAGACCAGCCTGGGCAACATAGTAAAACCCCATCTCTACTAAAAGTACAAAAATTAGCCAGATGTGGTAGCGGGCACCTGAAATCCTAGGTACTTGGGAGGCTGAGGTAGGAGAATCACTTGAACCCGGGAGGCGGAGGTTGCAGTGGGCCGAGATTGCCTCATTGCACTCCAGACTGGGCGACACAGCGAGACTCTGCCTCAGAAATAAATAAATAAATAAAACTTAATTATGGCAAGGTCAAGACACAGTTAACTACCTGCTAGGCATTCATTTTATTTCTAGACCCAATGGATTTAAAAAATATTAAAACAGCCAGACGTGCTGTAGCTTGGGTTCAAAATACACAGAGAGGTCACGCTGATGTGAAGATGACCATAATGAGGAGAGTAGGCTAAATGATCTTTAAGAGCCTTTCCAATAATAATTCCCCTGCCTCTTCCACATGGATGTGCCAGTGGTTTCTGAAGACTATGTGCAACTTCTATTATAGATGAGGATGTTGGCCCTGTTATTACATGACTAAGGAGAAGTAGTGCCAGTTTCAAGAGCCCAGAGAGGAGAAATGAAATGACTGAGCTAGCATCACTAATCAGATGAACTCAGAAAGGCTACCTGGGGCTATAAAATTAGGGAAGAGGAATAAACAAAGGGCTTCAGGGAGAAAACGGTAAAAGACTTCAGAGTTGGAGGAAAGGAACTAGGTATCCAGAAAGGAGAAAAGAGAGCTCCAGCTGAGGAAAAGGAAACCAGATCTGCTCAAGTTCTCAAAACATTAAAGGAATGAGAAAGACCACCTCTAGAAATTAAAGGAGGGAGGAATCAAGAAGAAAACAAATCCATAAAGAAATCAACAAGAAATAGAAAAATCAGTGATACCAGCTGGTATCGAAAAAAGATCCTTACAATTTAAACAGATCTTGTCAGTTTACTCAGTCATCAGGACAGTATCTACCATATAATAAGATGTATACCAAATATCTGCAGAGTAGAAGAACGTTACTTAATCCCCACAACAACCCTAGGACCGAGAAGTATACAACCCGAGATTACCATGGTGAGGTACAGCAAAGTACAAAGGTGCAATATAAAAAGCCTAAAATCCAGAATGTGGGACACAGCCTAGATAAACTTTAGGACAGGGATGATCTTTAGATTTGTGAAGGCTGTGAAATAATATGACAAGTCTACTTAAGTAGAGTTTTCTATTGAGAGGGCTCAGGGATTTTAAGAAGAATTTCAATGTGAGTTTATGAGGAACTGATGTACTACTAAGCTATTAATTTATGTTGAGAAACGATTAGTATGAATGTGATATATTATTCATTCTTTTTAATATTCATTCTTAAAATCAGCTCAAGAGATTCAAATGAAAATGAGCACAAAAACACTTTGGGAAGTTTTATATCTAGGTTATAGTTTTGCATACATCTACATAGTATCTGAATATCTTCTGGACATTAAGTATTATATGTCTGTATTACACAGTAAACACCTTTAAAAACTCAGACTAACACTGCTATTTTGTTGCTCTTTTTATATCATACTCCCCTCCCCCAGCAATTTTTAGACACATTCTCTCAGGTTTCTCATGTTGCCTATCAAAGTTATGAATACACCTAAAGGCACTTATTTTTTGGCTTAGATTTTGGTTTTTCAATAAATATTAAAGACACTTTTGTATTGCATATATTCATTAATACTAACCCTTCAAACTGGAGAGTCCGCAAAACATTTTCTTTCAAAGAAATCACACATTCTAATAGAACAAAACAGGCTTACACTATACCAATTGTGTATAAGTAACATACATAAGTTTCCAAACTGAAACTCTCTAAGTGAAAGTTACTAGAAACAAAAACTGAAACACCAGGTTCCTGACAACCCCCCCCAACACTGATGCTCAAATTACTTGAGGCCGAATTTTAAAACACTATTACTTCTCTGTAATTATGAAAACAAACCTATGAACACGTATTTGTTACTTATATTTAACCGATCCTCCCCACCCAACCCTTTATATTAGGCAGAAAACTGAAAACAACTAAAGGCATTACATTTTGGTGTCTTTTAAAACACTGTAAATTACTGCTATTACAAAACAACCCTCCCCGGCTGCCCCCACAAAAAAACCCTCATAACAGAATCAAATGAGCCCTAAGGCGAAGCAGGAACTATAGTGTGGGAAGGAATATTTAAAAAGACATCTGTGTCTTTAATTTATTGCAATTAAAGTGCAGTCCTCGAACCGCTAAACACCCTGGCTTCTTGTATAATTTTTTTTTTCTTCCCAGGGGTATGAAGCGGTAAGGAAGGCTTAGACAATAAAATCCAGAGGTCAATTTAAAACACGCTGGGACAGGGAGAAACTATTGAGAAGTACCAAGGTCAATGTAATCTAAGGGGCTCCTCTATCTTTTTGGCGTAGGTATTTCGCTGGACTTCAACCGTCGGGAACAGAGTTGGAGGGAAGAAAGTTGGGGGAAAGCGGGGAGAAAGGGGAAGCTGGAAAGAAAGAGGTGAGTAATGGGAAGGAGAGGAGAGGAAAGGGGAGCGCAAGAGCTGGCCGAGTAGGAGCGGGCAGAGGGGAGGCCGGGCGGGGGGCCGGGCGGGGGCCCGGGGTGGGGAGAAGGGGAAGGGAGCCCCGGGCCTGGCCCCGGCCCCGCCCAGCCCCTGGGAGGCCTGCGCGCCCTCCCGCCCCCTTACCAGCGGGAGCAGGAAGCCCAACAGCAGTGCGGCCGCGGTAGCGGGCAGCCGCCACTGCGGCCCCATCGGGCTGGTGGGAGCCAGGTGGGGCGGCACGGCGCGGCTCACTCGTAGGGGTACGCTCGGGGTCCCGACGCTAAGCTGCCTCCGTGGCCGGACCGGACCGGACAGGGGCTGACTGGGCTAGGATGGGACCGCTGCTGCTGCAGGGGCCGCCACGGCAGCGCCGACTTCCTCTTCCGGCCCCGCCCGTAAGATGCGGAAACCCCCGCGCGGGGCTTGAAGAGTCCCCGCGCTCTCCCGGCGTCCGGGCGTCCTGGCGCTGCGAGGCCACCGGCTGCGGGCCTGGGCCTGTCGCTTTCCGGCTGCCTGATTTTAACTCACGCCGAAGCCTTGCGGGAGAAGGGATTTCTCGAGGCCTGCTTCTCAAGGCTTGGAAGCGTCTGAGCGTCTGCTGGGTTCCCCAGTAACCACCGTAGTGTTGCATGGAGCCAGAAATCTAAGGGTCACCCTAATTCATCTGCCTGTCATTTGATCCTGGCCATTCTAACTCACCGCATAACCCAAATCCATCCAGTTTCTCTAGAACTGCCACCACTCTATCCAGGCCACCAACGTCTCCTACAAATGGGCCTCAGTTTCTGAACAGCCCAGTGGCCACGTAGCAGTACCAGAGTGATCTTTCAAAACATATAAATCAGATCGTGTCACTCTCCAGTCGTGTCACACTTGGAATAAAATCAAAACTCTACTCTGGCCTGCAAAGTTAAATGTGGCCCCTGCCTTCCTGTCTTTCCATCTTCACTACTTTCCCACACGTTAAGACGGACGGACCTTTGGCCCTTCCGGCCTTTGCTCTGGTAGTCTTCCCTACTGAAGTGCTCTGCTCTCCAAAACTCAGAATACCTGCCTTCATGTATCAGCTTCAATGCTGCTTCCCAGACAGGACTTACTGACATACCCAATCTAAAGCACCTGAGCAGTCACTTTCCTTCTCCCTCCCTCCCTCTCTCCCTTCCTTTTCTTCCTTTCTTCCCCCCTTCCTTCCTTCCTTCTTTTGTGAGATGGAGTTTCCCTCTTGTTGCCCAGGCTGGAGTGCAATGGCACGATCTCAGCTCACCGCAACTTCCGCCTCCTGGGTTCAAGTGATTCTCCTGCCTGAGCCTCCCGAGTAGCCTGGATTACGGGCATGCACCACCATGCCTGGCTAATTTTGTATTTTTAGTAGAGACAGGGTTTCTCCATGTTGGTCAAGCTGGTCTTGAACTCCCGTCCTCAGGTGATGTGCCCACCTTGGCCTCCCAAAGTGCTAAGATTATACGTGTAAGCCACTGTGCCCAGCCTGTTCAGTCACTTTCGTATCATGGTTTATTTAAATTTTCTGCATAGCACTTTTCATTCTATGTATAGGCTCATTTATTTATATCACCTCCTCTTGATAGCAAAGAGTGTCTTTGCTTTGTTCACTGCTATACCCTTTATATCTACAGCATTTGGCATATAGTAGGTCCTCAGATATTTGTTGGATGAATATTTAATATCAAATGCTGAATAGGACAGTGTCCCTACCACACCACAGCTCATAGTTTAGCAAGGGACACAGACGTGTGAGCAAACACAGTTCAGGGTGCCTCTTGTTTGCACAAGATATTATGGAAATATCAAAAGGAGGTATAAAAGGGGTGCCAGGAAAAACACCAGCCTGAGCTGAGTCTAGGTCAGTTAATTTTAGCAAGGCAAAGGGTAGAAGAAGGGGGACACTTCCAGGAAGAGTGAGCCATTAGTGTCAAAGCCAAAGGTGGCATTGAAGGAACTGCAAAACTTGGCCTTGGCTGAAGTTATGAGTGATGAAAGATGACATGTGAGAAGAGGTCAGAGGCCAAATCACAAATACATTGGGACTGTTTGTGATTTTGGGTTTTGTCATGCCAGGGGTAAAGAACAAATGAATAATAAACAGGGCAATGACATACACTTTCTGTTTTAGAAAGCTCTCTATGGTGGCTGGTAGGGCGGCAGACGTGTTGAAACAGGGCAAGAAGTGGAATCCAGGAGACCTGTTAGACCATCTACAGTAACAACCCAGGGACAGTGAGGACTTGAACTATGGCAGAAGAAATGGGGAGGAGGACATGGATCTAAAAGATTGGTAGAAGAATTTGGTGATTGAGAAGACATGGAGATAAAGGGAGAGGTACGTCCCAGTGTCTTGCCCTGGGCTATTTATTGAGTTGGGTGTCACAGGTGAAGGAGGTCAAGTTGATAGGACAAATGAGGGAGGAGAAATACTTTTGGATGTGAGTCTGAAATGCTTGTAGGATATCCACATGCAAATAACTGTTGATTGATGGCTATGTGGGTTGGTCTGAAGCTTAGGGGCACAGTGAGGCCAGAACTGCCTCATTTGCTGCCTGTCAATTCTGAACTCTTTTCATACCTTCAAGTTGCCCACAGCAAGCCAGATCACCCCAGCACCCCGCCTTTGTTTTTTGAGATGGAGTTTCGCTCCTGTTGTCCAGGCTGGAGTGCAGTGGTGCAACTGTACCCGACCCGGGTTCCCCTTTTATAGAACAGCTGTGATAGACTAGATGATTTCATCTCTAAATATTGCCTTCTGCTTCTCGTATCCCTTTGCCTAGTGAATCGCCAAATTGGCTCCTGGGCTGTTGGAAAAGCTCTAGTTTTTGTTTGTTTTTATTTTTCGAGACAGGGTCTCACTCTGTGGCCCAGACTGAAGTGCAGTGGCATGATCTCAGCTCACTGCAGCCTCAACATCCCAGCTCAGGTAATTCTCTTACCTTAGCCTCATGGGTAGCTGAGACTACAGGCATGCGCCAACACGACTGGCTAATTCTGGTATTTTTTTGTAGAGATGAGGTTTCGCTGTGTTACCCAGGCTGGTCTCGAACTCCTGAGCTCAGGTGATCTGCCTACCTCCCAAAGTTCTGGAACTTGTGAAAGGAAAATAAGTCTTGGGACCCCAAAATCACTAAGCCAAAGGGAAAAGTCAAGTAGGGGAACTGCTTAGTGCAAACCTGCCTCCCATTGTATTCCTTAATAAAAGATAGCTACCAAGATAAAGAGCTATATACCTCCTTCAGAAGGAGTTTCCTTGTGGACAAAGGACAGACAGAACTCAAAGTCATCCCTTTGCTCACTGAGGTAAATGCGTATCTGATTGTTTCCTTTGGAAAGGCTAATCAGAAACTCAGAAGAATATAACCATTTTTCTCTTGCCTACATATGACCTGGAAGCCTTCTCCCTGCTTCGAGTTGTCCGCCTTTGCCTTTCCAGATGGAACCAATGTACATCTTACATATTGATTGATGTCTCATGTCTCCCTAAAATGTATAAAAACCAAGCTGTGCCCCGACCACCTTGGGCACATGTCGTGAGGACCTCCTGAGGCTGTGTCACAGGCGCATGTCCTTAACTTTGGCAAAATTAACTTCCTAAATTGACTGAGACCTATCTCAGATATTTGGGGTTCACAGACTACAGGCATGAGCCACTTTTCCGGGCCTAAAGCTCTCTAGTTTTCTTGCCTCCATTTGTGCTGATTTTTCCATTCCCTTGGTTGGAAAAAAACAATGTTGGCAGCCAAGGAACATGTGTTATATGGCTGGTTCCCTTTGCAATCTGTCTTTATCTGCTTTAGTTTTATCAAATGAAAAATGTGGACAGTAATACCTCTTCAGCCTATGTTGCATGATTGTTGTAAAAATTAACTGATTTGTAATGTGAGTAAAATTACTCTGAAAATTAAAAAAAATAAAAAAGAAAGAAAGAAGGAGGGGCTGGGAAGGAGAATCAGCAAAATAGAAGGCTGTAATCTAAAGTGTCAGCACCATTTGTCATAATTCTTCTGCCAGAATGGTTTCTCTTTAGTCAAAGTCCCTGTGCAGGATGAGATGAAGGAAAATGGGAGGATTAATGGAAAATTAAAAGATTCTTATTTAATGACTTTATTGCTGAAAAGGTGGTTACACATGAATTTCCCTGCAAGTATTAGGTAGGATAAAGACTATCTGGGTATTTTTTAGTCAGTGTTTTTCTTCTATAAAGAAATTACATATAATAACACAATTATGCAAAATAAGTATAAATAGATTAAAGAGCATTTTGATTTGTAAATATATTTAGTTGATAGAATTTCTTCTTCTTTTTTTATTTAGATGGAGCCTTTCACCGTCACCCAGGCTGGAGTGCAGTGGCGCGATCTCTGCTCACTGCAACCTCCGCCTCCTGGGTTCAAGCGCTTCTCCTGCCTCAGCCTCCCAAGTAGCTGGGATTTCAGGTGCCCACCACCATGCCCAGCTAATTTTTTGTATTTGTAGTACAGACGGGGTTTCACTATGTTGGCCAGGCTGGTCTTGAACTCCTGACCTCATGATCTGCTCTCCTCGGCCTCCCAAAGTGCTGGGATTACAGGCATGAGCCACCACACCCAACCAGAATTTTTTTCTTTTGTCTCTTTCTTTCTTTCTTTCTTTCTTTCTTTCTTTCTTTCTTTCTTTCTTTCTTTCTTTCTGTCTTTCTTTCTGTCTTTCTTTCTGTCTTTCTGTCTTTCTTTCTGTCTTTCTTTCTGTCTTTCCTTTCTTTCTTTCTTTTTCTTTCTTCTTTCTTTCTTTCTTTTTTTCTTTTCTTTCTTTCCTTCTCTTTCTTTCTTTTTTCCTTCCTTCCTTCCTTCCCTGCTTCCCTCCTTCCCTCCCTCCCTCCTTCCCTCCTTCCCTTCCTCCCTCCTTTATTTCTTTCTTTCCTTTCTTTTTCTTTCTTTCTTTCCTTCCTTCCTTCTTTCCTTTTTCTTTCGACGGAGTTTCACTCTGTTGCCAAGGTTCGAGAGCAATAGTGCAATCTCAGCTCACTGCAGCCTCCGCCTCCCGGGTTCAAGCAATTTCACCTGCTGCAGCCTTCCAAGTAGCTGGGATTACAAGCGCCCAACGCCATGCCCAGCTAATTTTTTTGTATTTAGTAGAGACTGGTCTCGAATTCCTGACTTCAAGTGATTCACCCACCTTGGCCTCCCAAAGTACTGGGATTACAGATGTGAGCCACTGCGCCTAGCCAATTTATTCTTTTTCTGTATAATAAAAGATAGTATGTTAGAACCTTTCTCTTAATTTTAGTTTTTATTTTTGAGACAGAGTCTCGCTCTGTCATCCAGGCTGGAGTGCAGTGGTGC